GCTTGGAGGGCAAAGCGCAGGTATAACGGGGAGTTCAGAGTATGCTTCAGACTAGAGCAAGAACCTGGGCGTGGATATACATAAAACTCAGAAGTGGTTTCGTAAGATGAGTCAATATATCATTGCATTGATTTAAACGCTGCATGTAAAACAGCTTTGATTTCTAAGACAGCCAGTACAAAGAGAGAGACAAAAAGTTCACACTGTCTCCCTAAAGGACAGACACAAGAATCCCGCCTCTGGAATCCATCTGTGTACCAGCGAGATTAACTCTTAGTAAAATTCTGGCCGGGATCCAGAGAACAAAACAGAAGTGAACAGAAAGCACCTTCTAGCTGAAGGACTGTTGAATCCTGGGGTCTGAGGCTACGTGATTCCAGCACAGCAGTGGGCACCCTGGAAGCAGACTGCGGAAGGCCGGCCAGGAAGACCCCAAAGAGTGTCTTCCTCCCCTCCGGCTCCTCTTTCTGGGTAGGAATCCATTAAGGATGAGGTGTACCCAGTGGTCAGAAGAGATGATGGGAAGGAGGGAAGCAGTAAATCCTGTCTGCCTGTCCAGATCAGAAGGCCAGTGAAATCCCAGGAGAAAGCACTGGAATGAGCCCACAAGAGACCTCTGTTTCCATCCTAACCTCCTGACTGCTGTGCAATGTTGGGCACACCTCTCGCCTTCTCCGGGCCTCAGGTGCTCTCCAAGGGGCCTTTCATCTATAATGTGAAGTGGTTCTGGGGCACCTTGGAGTGGCCTGCAGTTAGAAATGAGCTGCCACGTGGCACAGAAGATGACATGTACAAGACATTCATGCAAGAAACTGGCAAACCATGTCACCGAGAGTCTCTACAGGGTCACCTTAAGAAGCAATTTAATCTTTCCAAAAAAGCTAAGATGGAAAAAAAATAAGAGTAACTTTACAGTGGAGGAACGTGACAAACACTACCTCAGCCAGGGGATCAAAGTCAACATCAACAATGACAAGTCATGTTGACAGTACGTGCCCTTGATGTGATGTGATGGGAATGACCTTTACCTCTGTGGTCTTCCCCCACTAAACCCATAATCCCAGTCTAATCATGACAAAAGCATCAGGCAAGTCCCAACAGAGGGGCATGCTGACCAGTGCTCCTCAAAGCTAAGGTCATCGAAAACAAGGAGAGTCTGAGAAATTTTCACAGCCAAGAGGAGCCCACGGAGACGTAAAGACTAAATGCAATGTGGTGCCCTAGTGGGATCTTGGAACAGATAAGGGACATCAGGAGAAAACAAAGGGAATCTGCATAACATATCAATACCAGTTCATTCCTTGTTACAAACAAAGACACTAACGTAAGATGTTAATAATACGGGCGACTGGTTGCAGGGGTACGGGAACTCTGTACTCTCCTCACAACTTTTTTATAAATCTAAAACTGGTCTAAAAAATAAAGTTTATTTTTTAAAAAGAGTTAAGGACAGTGAAGTCATGGCAACTATGTACACAAACACCTCCCGGGGGAGAGCGTGGTGCATGCAGAGTGGGTGTTATATTTAAACTGAGACCCTGCACCTTTCGTTGGAACTTTGGTAAATGTCCATTTTTTAGGCAGCATAAATGAATTCAGTTTGGAAGTTGCTTCATTAAACTGAGAATTCCAGCAGAGAGAGAGCAAGATTTTGTGACAAAGATGACTAGAATGACCTGGAATAGGGTGGGGGGCGGGGTGGGCAGGCAGGAGCTCTTTGGAAATGCCATTGAGACAGCTGAGTGGAGCTGGGTCTGTGCTGCGGAGAGAGAACTGCCCCGAGACTGTGGGTCAGGACCCCCCCCCACACTGGTGCAGAATCAGATCGGTGTTTCTGCTGAACGTGAGGAGAAAGAGTGAGGCAGAGCATGACCCTGCACCAGGTGGGCTGGGAAAGAACAGGGTTCACCGTTAAGACACCTGGATCTATTCCTGGCTCCAAGAGCCCCAAACCAGCTGTGTGCTCTGGGGCAAACGCCACTGCCTGGTTTTCTTATTTGGAAACTGGGTGTTTGGGGAAGGACTGGGTAGGGTTAGCTCTTATTAGTCACTATTTACCCCATGCCAGGCTTCAGGCTATACAATCTCAGAACTGTCCTTCAAGGATTTTATTACTGTCCCCATTTTTCAGATTAGGAAAACCAAGGCCCACAGAGGTCCCATCAGTGCCCAAAGCCACAAGGCCAGTAAGTGGTCAAGCAGGCCTTGAACCCAGGTCTGTCCCTAAAGTCTATTCTTAACCATTCCATGTGCTCCTTCCCTACATGCCATGGGCTGGCACTCTCATTTTTTTAGGGGTATTTGTTGCCCAAGTCTCAAACCTGGTCTCAAGATACAGCTGGACATGAGGTGTTTACCTGCTCTGCCCCGTGGACTGGGCTCGGCCGAGCGCTGGCAGAGCAGCATTCCTGGCCAGGCAACCTTCCCACCCTACCCAGCCGCCCCGCCGGGACTCCAGCCTGTCTGGGCCTTTTGCTGTCTTAACTAAAATGACAGGCTTCAGATGTTTTTTACATTAAAATGGTTTGTTTCTGTTCATCTCTTTTCCAGATGTCACTACCTAGAGGGAATCTGTCTTTATTTATTGGCTCCTTCCTGCACAATCTAAGGGAATCTCCCTCTGGCTGAGACCCCTGGGAAGGAGGCCACATGTGGGGAGTGACTTGAAGCAGGACCGCAGGAACCTGGGATCCCCCGGGAGCTCAGGACAGAGGTCATGATGGAAACCGTGGGAGGTGGGCTTGCCATTCAGATTCTCTCCTGGCCACGTGGCACACGTGCTGCTGCTGTGAGGCGTGTGGCAGGGTCACCGTGTTCCCTGCTGGGCTGGGAGGCTGCAAATCTACAAGGGATAGATGCAGCCCTGTGTCTGTGTCTCTCACGTTGCCAACTGCAGTTGACTGCTGGTTTTCCTGTTAGACACTAGACTGCGAGCTGCCTGATCAACTTCTAGCCCGATTCTGTCTACACCTCCCTCTGCCCACGCCCTCTCTTCCCAGTCTTCCTGTGTCCACTCCCACCCTCTCCTAGCTGTCCTCCAACAGCAGCCAGAAAGATCCATCAAAAACTCAGCTCTGGGCGGATCCCCACCCCTGCTTCTAACACTCCAGGCTTCCTCTTTCCAAACAGGAGAAAGCCCAAACTCTCCGGCCAGCTGTAGAGGCTCTTCCCGAGCCTGCCTCCCCACCCTCCCATGGCCCTTTGCTCATGTGGAAGCCCTGCTCTCCCCCATGCCCCTAGCATAGCACCCACTCCCAGGCCTCACACTGTTCCCTCTGCCTGGCGCCCTTCTCCAAGTGGCCCTGCTCAGCGTCAGTTCCTCTGGAAACCCTTCCCCACCTGGTGTGCAGAGCCTCTGCACATGCCCCCCGTGAAGCATGCATCGCACCAGACTGCAACCGAACTCCCCGAGTCACCCAGAGCTCCATTAGGGCAGGGGCACACCCTATCCAGGGCGGTGTCCTTTGTGCCAGCACAAGTCCAGTGCAGAGCAGGCACCGATGGCAATGAATTGTGAGAGAATGAACGAGGGTGGTGCCAGCTGCATAGAGACTGGCACACTTGTATTCCAGGGCTAGGATCCTACACAGATTGCCCACTCCCAGGACCAAGCCTTGGACAATGTGCCCCTGAGGGCTGCATCCCCTGATGGTCCCTCTTGTCCCTCATAAGCATTCTGTGCTGAAATGAAAGGACATGGTGTTCCCAAAGTAGATGAAAAGGTTTGGTTCCCTGACAGACATTCCAAGGGGATGACTTTGAAGACACTGTGCACATATGTCCCTGTGGGGACATCCCACGCACTTCCCACCCCACTCCAGCTAGGAGAGGATGGGGTTGAAGAGCCAAGAGATGCACTGAGGACACATTTACTGAGACCTGCAGCACGGGCGCTGGGCTAGGGCTGGGCACAAACGTGAGCTGGACGAGCCTTGCCCCGGGGAGTGAATGACCACTGCCCATGGCAGTGAGTGCCCAGTGCCCTGGGAACACCCACAGTGAGGGCTGTGGGGCTGTGGGGGAGCATCATATTCTGTGCGGAAGCCGGGACTTGAAGGACACAAGCAGAGTAGATAGGCAGGGACCCAGGCAAGGGGCACAGCCCAACCAAAACCCAAAAGGTGGAATGGCACAGGGCTTGTCAGAATGACAGGTGACTCCTTAGCTCATTCAGAGTGTTTGTGCACAAGACAGATGAGACAGGATGTTGGCAAGATAGGCAGACAGATGGCAAACCCATGTGAGAGGCGAGACCTCAGCCCTGAGACCCCCTTGGCAAGGGCCTGGGTACTGGCAGTGGGGGGTGGGGGGAGCTGGGCTGCCTGTCCTCACTGCGCAGCACCACATCAGTACACGGCTGTGGGCAGGCCAGGCCAGGCTGGGCCTGGGGCCCTGAGAGGTGGAGGCCGAGCTTGTCTGGCTCATGGATTAAGAGGCAGTGGCTCTGTCCTCCCGCTAGAATCTACAGGGCAGAAGGGAATGACCGTGCATGTCATTTGGCCCATCCTCTCACACTCCCACCACCTTGCTAGTCCCTCGGTGGCATTCCCATCTTACAGCCTGGTTCTGGAACCTTCCCTGCACCTGAGGCTGTGCTCCTACAGAGCATTGCTGTCTTGCTACAAGGCCCAGCTGTCACCCACCTTCTGAGTGCCCAGTCTACCTCCTCAGAACTCCCTCTGTCCTACTCACATGAAAGAAGCCCCTCATCTTACAGATGAAGGAACTGAGGGCAGACAAGTGGCACGACTCGGCCAAGGTCCACAGGGCAGGGAGCAGAGAGGCTGGGACTTGAGCACAGGTCTCTGGATTCCCAGGCAGGGTCCCTCCCTGGCTTGGCTGACTGCCTTCTTTGGCTTGGCTGGGCACATCCTCAAAGGCCGCACCACCTGTCTCTGAGTCTCTATTATAGCCCGTGGGGAGCAGAGAGCACTGCTAACACCCTTTGGCGGTGTCTGGATGTCCTGTGTGATGACTAGCACACAATGGTGCCCAGCAACTCTCAGCAGACAGAGGCAGTCCCCTGCTGTAGAGACTGAGAAGACTCTGGAGAACTGAGTTGGTGACTCACAGCTCAGGCTGGGGAACTGAAGGTCACCGTGGTGCAGTGAGAAGAAACCTGGCCTGGGAATTAGGGCCGAGCCCTGGCCTGGCCGGGCTGGGCACCAGTGACCTTGGAGACATTCTCCCTAAGTCCAACAAGGGGCTGGACAAGCTCCCTGATCTCTGGGGCCCCTGCAGCTCCGGCCTCCTGTGGCTTTAGGCACCACAGTGTCCCCAGCCAGGCCTTGGACAGAACGGAACAGAACTGAACGTGGCAGTGCGTTACCCCTTGCTCCTGACAGATTTGCGTCAGCCTCTCCAGCTGCTCGTCTTGGATGACCTTGGCCTTCTCGTACTGCTGGATGACCATCTCCATCTCCACCTTCACTGGCAAGACATAGGCTGGAAGACAGAGACAACCCCATGAAAAACTTGGCAGTGGCAGGGCTTGAGCCGGGGAGAGGCCGACCCAGTATCCGGTCAGCAGCAGGTTCAAGGCCCAGGCTCAGTTCTCTTAGGATCTGGGGGTGGGGGTTGGGGGGCAGGTAACCAAGTACCCAACAATATTCAGAAAGTACAAGAGGGCTACAACCTGAATTCATGGTGTCCAAGGTATCTGTTTTTCTCCTTTTCCAGAGGAATAGAACTTTCAATTTTTTGGTTTGTGCACAGCTGCCTGGAAAAAAGTCTATATTTTCCAGCCTCCTTTGCAGTTAGGTGTGGCCAAGAGACCACATTCTGGACAATGGGATACTAGTGCATGTGGCATGCAGCAGCTTCCAGAAGCCTTCCTTAAAAGGCAGCTGGGGTTGGGGAGGATGTGAGAATACTGGAACCTCACACACTGCTGGTGATTCATGGTGTCCAAGGTATCTGTTTTTCTCCTTTTCCAGAGGAATAGAACTTTCAATTTTTGGGTTTGTGCACAGCTGCCTGGAAAAAAGTCTATATTTTCCAGCCTCCTTTGCAGTTAGGCGTGGCCAAGAGACTACATTCTGGACAATGGGATACTAGTGCATGTGGTATGCAGCAGCTTCCAGAAGCCTTCCTTAAAAGGCAGCTGGGGTTGGGGAGGATGTGAGAATACTGGAACCTCACACACTGCTGGTAGGAATGTAGAATGGTGCAGCCACTGTGGGAAACAGATTGGCAGTTCTTCAAAATGTTAAACACAGAGTGACCATATGACCCAGCAATTCCACTCCTAGTGCCCAACAGAAATAAAAACACGTCAACACAGAAACTTGTACACGAACATTCACAGCAACATTATTCATAATAGCCAAAAAGTGGAAAGAACCCAAATGGTCATCAACAGATGAAAGAATAAATAAAACGTAGCACAGCCACACGAGGGCGTGCCATGTGACAACACAGGGGTGCCGTGCTCCTACGTGCTGATACACAGATGAGCCTTGAAAATGTGAAGGCAGACGAAAAGACCACATATCGTGTGATTCCCTTTACGTGAAATGTCCAGAATAAGCAAATCTATGGAGATGAAAAGTAGATTAGCGTTTGCCTAGAGCTGAGGGGGGTGGGAAGTGACTGCTGATGTGTAAGGAGCTTCTTTCCGGAGAGATGGAAATGTTCTAAACTCAGGTTTTGGTGATGATTGAACAACTCTCTGAATATACAAAAAACCATTTAGTTGTACACTTTACATGTGTTAATTTTATGGCATGTGAATTATATCTCATCAAAAGTGTGAAAAAAGGAAAGGCAGTTGGAGACTCACTTTACCTCTTTATCTTTTCCTCCCTTCCTCCTTCCTCCCGGCTATGCTGAGGATGTGATGGCTGGCACTAGAGCAGCCGTCTTGGACCATGAGGTGACTTTGAAAAGTAGGCCATGTGCAGCAGAGCAACAAAAAAGGAAGCCTGAGACCCTGACCACAGAGGGTGAGTGCCACATCAGCCCTGGACCCTCGACCTGCAGACTTTCATGGGAGAGAAACAAGCTGCACTGTTATTCTGGGTCTCTGTTACTCACAGATGATCCTATTCATAACTGATACACACAGTGAGATGAGAAGACCAAGCCTGGACTCTGAGTAGAAGGGCCCCGTCATCTCCCAGCCAGCAGCAGCCCCATGGACCCCTCCATTGGTAGCTCTCTGGGCTTAGCAGCTCTGGGCTCCTTGGATGTTGGATGTCCCAGAATCAATTCCTCGCCTTGATCTGGCCTCTGCCCTTTACGCTCTTCTCCCGCCTCTCAGAACCCAGCCCTTGCTGACTCTTCTGAAACCTTGGTCACATGCCTCTCCTGCCACTGTGTTCTAGAACCTTCCTTGCCTCCACTCTCCAAGTTCCCTTTCCATCATCCACAGCCTCTCCACCTCCAGATGTTCTCTGGCTGTTGCAGGAATCATACAGAGAAGAGAAATCTGGACTTTTCTGTTTGCTTCCAGACTTCAGGGCAGACACGTGTCCCTGAGACCCATCTCCAGGCCCTGAGGCTGTCCCGAGCTGCTGCTGCCTCCTTGGACCTTGCTGAAGCCAGTTCACGCCCAGGGTGACAGTAGTAAATTCACACCCATTCTATTGTGAGGCTCCTAGTAGCATGGCTATGCCTGATGTGTCAAGAAAAAAGGGGGAACAGCTGGGAAGGGCGTTCAAACTGTGACTGTCAAAATCCATTAGCGTGAGGGTGTGCAGCTGTCCACAGCTGGCAGAAAGAGCCAGAAGGCGCTGTTCCTGCCCTGAGGGGAGCGGATGTTCTCATGGACAGAGCCAAAAACAGGGCCCTGAGCGGATGCGGGTGGAGTGAACACGGGGGGGTGGGAGGGCATCAGGGGTTCTGGGCTTCTCTTCTGGTTCAGAGCCTGATTTGTCGTGACCTTCATCTCTCCTAGCCTCAGTTTCCCCATCTGTCAAATGAAAGAAATGGACTAGATCATCTCCCAGAGCCCTCCCAGCCTTCCAAAGTTGGACCCAACCACATTCCAGTGTGATGAAGACTCTGTTTTAAGGGCTCCCTGATGAGATATCAGCATGGAAACCAGGACCGAAGCCCACATTATTCACAGGGTGGGGCACGGGGGTAGAGGCCAGGGAGAGGGTGCCCACCTCCGGGTGAGAGACCCGAGAGGCCCTTCTGCCTGCCTTGTACACATTGGGTAAACACTTGGAGTGTTCCTATGGCCAAGTTTCTATCATTAGAAATCAAAATTCAGGGCTGGAAAAGACCTTAACGTCTATCCCAGTGGTTTTAAAAGTGTGCTCTAGCAGGCCTGGCAGTTCCTTAGAGGTGCCTCAGGGGACAAGGCGGAGGGCAAGGGGGTGGGTTCTGGGTCCCCTCCACTCCGAGTTAGCCAAAGCAACCCCACTTTCAGTCTATTTCGCACACTGGGTTAGATTTTGTGGGAGAAAGGGCTTCCCAGGCCAGGGCAGAGCTGCCCAGGTAAGGGTGCTCCGTGGGGAGGGCAGCCTCTGCCCCGATGGCAGCAAAGGTAAGAACAAAGCAGGAGCAGCTCAGACTCTTTCTGGGCATGGAGACCCGGGGCCAGGAGTGTGTATCACCAAAGATAAGTGAAGCACGGTGGCAGGCACACGCCAAGATACCCGAGGCGTCAAAAGCTGCTCTTTCCAGAACCACAGGCCCTGCTGTAAGCTCTTTGCAGGGCTGGCCATCCAGGTACATGGACACCTGAGCAGGGGGGTAGTTCCAGGCACAGTCTTGGTTCTCTGTGTGCCAATGGTCTCATCCTCCACCCTGATGCTGGTGGCCATCTGCCATGTCACATGATCTCCCTCCCCTCTCAGTCCACAGCTTCCATTTCTGGAGCAGCCCCCTGCAGCCCCACCAGCCCTAATGCCCCCTCTCAGGCCACTCACCATCAATGACCCTCTTTACCCGCCAAATCCGGAGCATGATGATGAGGCTGATGGCGTCCCAGGGGCTCCTGGGCCCGTTGGCCACGGTGGATGCCACCATCGGGGCCAAGGATAGGATGATCACAGCCCCGTCAAAGACCTGTGAGGGGAGGCGTATTGCAGTGCTCTGGGCTATGCTGCATGTCTGAGACCCTAGACCAGTCAGGCAAAGCCGCTGGTGCTGGCGACTTCGCCTATGTCCCACCAGAAGGTCACCCCAGCCCTGGCTGTCCCTCCTGGCCCTCCTCGGTGTTTCAGGGCCTCCCCCTCCTAGACATGCTCCTGAGCATTCTCTGTCCTCCAAGTGGTCTCAGCCCATCTCCAGCCCTTTGTTCAGATGACATTGGGCTGTCTTGTCCCTTCTCAGGATGGGGTCCGCATCCGGTGTCTGGCCCTGGGCAGAGGCTGAATCCCTCACTGGCAAGGTAGGGGCTCAAGGCAGGCGTGGGTGCCTCCTTCCCTGTGGGTAGCAGGAGTTAGGGCTAGGAGAGGGGGACCAGCCCACACGACTGAGCCCTGCGCCCTGACCCTCCACGTGCCTGCCTAGCCTGGCCTAGGTCTGAGCCTCTCGTGGCCAGGCCTCCTGTGTCAGCTCCCAAGCACGAGGCCCGAAGAGGCTAAAGTGTAGGTGAGCGGTGAAGAAGGCGTCGGCGGCAGACCCTGACTGCCTTGCACTGGGCTGCGTGCATAAAACTGCCAGCGACAGCCGGGCCTTCCCCACACCTCATCCCCACCCACCGCACCCACCCTGTTTACGTGAAGCAGACTGGAAACTCAGGCTGGGAAGAGCTTTTACAGTTTTCTATAAAAGCACAGCTCTCCCACCACTGGGCCATGTTAGAGTAGATTTATTTGTTTTAAAACACATTTCAAAAGCTTTTCAAATTGACTCAATAAATTTTAAAATGTTGCGAAATTTCAAGGAGATTTTTCTAGAATATCCTTTTGCTGGAAACTGTCTCAATTCGCCACTCCCCAGCCTCTGCCTCCTCCGTGCCCCACCCGACAGGCACAGCTGAAAGGACTTCCTTGGTCAAGTGCAGGGAGGAGCAGGCCTCTTTGGTGGCTCCCACCCTGGGATGGATGGGACGGTGACATTTGCCAGCTTCCAGGATAGTTGCACTGGGGATTGGGGGGTGGACACTGGGTCTTACCTCAATTTTGTTTTCGATGTAGTCCCAGATCCCAAGTACCACAATCCGTAGAACAGTCTGAGGGGAGGAAGTGAGAAAAGTAGTTATTGCTCCAGTCCCTTCCCCAGCAGAGAAGATTCCAGAGCTCAGAATCTGGAGCTCTGCTCTCCTGTTCAGTAATAGGAAGAGATGCCTGCTCCATCCCCCACCTTGAGTGCCCCAGCTCCGGTCTTCCTGCAGCCCCATCTCCTGCAGCCCCTCACCTACCTGCAGGCTCAGTGCCCTTCCATCTTTGTGCTATCCCCTGGGCACCCCCTGGCACCAGCCCTCTCTCAGAACCCTTCGTGTTCATGGTACATATAAAATACAATCCAAATCCCTTGGAATGATACTCAGGACCCTGCCGCACTGTCCAGCATCCTCTCTTGCCACTCCGATCGTGCCGCAAACCACTTATAGATCTTCAGACACGCCAGCTCTCTCTCCTACAGCGTTGTCTTTGCATGTGGCGAAGACTACGGTTGACCTCCCTCTCCACCTCAAATCTCTTCTCTCCTTCTCCTACAATTATTGAAGCGTTGGCATGGCCACCCAGCTAATGACCACATTTCCCAGCCTTCCCTGTGTCCAAGAGTGGCCATGTGACCAAGTTCTGGCCAACGGCTGGTGAGCAGAAGTGCTCTGGACAGCTTCTAGGTTGTACCCTTGAAGGGATTAAGCTCTTCCTCCTCTTTCTCTCTTCCCAAAGACTAGAACGTGGGTGTGCAGGTGTGGTGCTGAACCAGCTTCACCTATGGAGGGGGGGGCAATGAGACGGAAGCCTGCTGGTTCCCCACTCGCCCCAAGCCACCATATCAGACTTAACTGCTCACCCAACCTGTTCTTCCACGAGTGAGAAATGGACCCTGTCTGGTTTAAGCCCCTAAATTTTTTTTTTTTCCTTTTTGTCTTTTTTCGTGACCGGCAACGGACCGCAACCCTCAGTGTCTCGCCCGTACCGGACTGGGACCGGCAACGGGATCGCAACCCTCGGTGGTTCGCCCACACCTCGCTCAGCCAGTGAGCGGCCGGTCTGTATGTGGGATCCAAATCCTTAGCAGGAGCACCGCTGCGCTCGCAAGTGGCGCACTGTAGCAGTGTGCCACCGGGCCGGCCCCATAGCCCCTAAATTTTTGGTTTTCTTGTTAACAGCAGCTTGTCCTGTATCCTAACCAGCAGGGCTCTTTCCCCTTCTTGTCCTTCTGGCCTCAGCTCAAATGTCACTTCCATGGAGCCCTTCCACACTTTCCAGGTCAGTTGGTGCATCTTCCTCAGTGTTCCTATAGTTCTTGAACCATCTCCCTCCCACAGCACTTCACTGTAACTTGCGGTAATGACCCACTCAGTCCCCTGGTTAAGGCCCAAGAGACACTGTCTGATTTCTCTCTTTTATCCTACTCCCCAGCATAGAGTAGGCACTGAGTGACTGTGCGTTGTGAATGAATGGACAAACGCATGCACAAATGAGTAATTCCTAAATGCTGCTGCCTTCAGGAGTGGTTTCCTCACCACAAATACATCTTTCTTCAAAGAAGATTCTTAAAAGCTGCAGAAAGTCCATGGATCACCAGCCACACATGCCGCAAAAAGTCTTGGCTGGTAAAATCCACCTCTTCCCCATAAAGGACTATCCTGATTTCCATGAAGGGTGAGAACATGGGATGCTGGTGGCAGCCAGTTCTGTCAGCACCTTTGAGTACACAGAGGAACATACGGCAGCCTGATGTCCACTCCTATAGAGCTTCTCAATCTCTGGATTGGTGGACCTATGCTTAACAGCAAGACAGCTCCCAGGGGTGGGAAGAGATCTGGGCAGGCGAGGGATCCGAGATATCTTGAGGTTATGGCTCAGTAATGGGCTGGTTGTGTGGCTTTGGGCAAGTCAAATCCCCTCTTTGGGCCTCAGTTTCCCCTTTTGCTGGAGAGGTGGGTTAGATGATACAGTTCTTACAATTATTCATGAGAGTAACATCTGCCTTCTAGTATATGCCAATGAATGCCAGACGTTAGGCCAGCCCTCCTCGCATGTGATTCTCATTTTGCAGAGAGGCTCAGAGAGGTTCAGGAAGCTGCCCAAGCTCACACAGGCCATCGGTGATGAAGTTGGCATTGGGACCCAGAGCTTTTCAGCTCTTCGCTGTGTACTCAAGCTGTGTAAGAACACATATCGCCCTGGTTTCTTCTGTTGCTGTCCAATCCCTCTAACTGTGCTGAGCTTGAAACTCGGTGTTTGTCTCCTCTGAAATGCTACATCAGCCACATCCGCCCCAAACTCCCCATTCTGGGGCTCCCGAATCGATTTCTACTGCTGCCCTTGCTGCTCCTCTTCCTTGTCCCTGTCCTTCCCCTTTTAAAATTGTGGCAAAATACCCGCAACATGGAATTAACCATTTTACCGATTTTTAGTTTACAGTTCCTTCATGCTAAGTACACTGACACTGGTGTGCAACCATCACGCACCTTGAGAACTTTCTCATCCTTCCAAACTGAAACTCTGCACCCGTTAAACAATAACTCCCATTACACCCCCTCACCCAGGCCCTGGCCACCACCATCCTGCTTTCTGTCTCTGTGAATTCCATTATTCTAACAACCTCATGTAAGAGGAATCATCGTGCTTCTTTAAAAACAAGGCTCTTCTTAGCTGGAAACGCGATGGCCCGGGGGTGGGTGGTGTGCGGATGCGGAAGGGAGCCGGCGGGCATGGGACACAGCCAGCAGTGGCTGCGAGGGCGGGAGGGCAGGGCGGCAGCACACACAGAGCCTCTGTGTGCCAGGAAGAGATGGGGGTTTACGGTTTTATGGGCCAAAGTGGTGCCGAGTCAGCAAGCAGAGCAGCTGGACCACTGGCCGCCTGCCTTCCCTCCTTGCTGGCCCGTCCACATGGACGCCTCCTCTGAGGCTCAAGCCCACGTCCTCTGGGAGCCTCGCCTTCCCCGCCTGGCCCATGGAAACAGCAGCAAGAGGCAGCTGCGGAGAGGGCTCGGGAACCCCTCCCGGACCAGCCTTCTGCTACAGGTGGGGAAGCGGTGGCCTGAAGATGGCTGCTCCAAGTCAGGGTCAAAGCCAGAGCGAGAACCCCACCAACTGGCTTTTCCTCTGCAGCATCCTTCCTCACTCCAAACGGCTTTGCCAAGACCACCTGTCCAGGGAGGCAGGGACCAGGCCACAGTGCCCCCCACCCACAGACCTAGCACGGTCTTACCCCTCTGAAAACACGTGCTGACCAATCCACTGACTGCTGGTGCTTCCCAACGTGCAGGCGAGGATTCCCTGCTTCAGCAACATCTGGGGATTGTGTTTAAAATGCAGATTCCTGGAATCTCATGGAGACCCAGGATATTGAACCTCTGAGCACAAAGCCTGGAATACACTTTTAAAAAAAACTCCCCTGGGGCACCTAAGAGAACCCCAGGGATGTGTAAGGTAAGGCAGCCTTGGGTTACAACAGGAGACCACATGAACAGTTGCAACTCAGAGAAGGAGCATTAGACTGGGAGTCAAACGTCTGGTCCTCTCACTAGCTCTGACTGTTCTTTATTAACCATGTGACATTGGCCAGATCCCTCCACTGACCTAGACTGAGAGCAGAACTACCGCCTCCCATGCTGCCGGCCTCCCAGTTGCTCCAGAGCTCCAGAGGGAAAGTGCTTTGCTAACTAAAAGTACAGGGCAATGACGCAGGATTATTTTGTTACCACCCCCACTCTTGGCCTGGCAATCCTGCCCCCAAGAGCTGCAAAGAGCTTTGAGGGAGGATCTGAGGAAACTGGAGTCCCCAGCTCCAGCTGCCTCCTCTCCCACCTGGGACTAAGGGTTTTCAGCCCCTTTCATTCCAATCTTGCCTTCAGGAGGTTGCTCTGATAAGCAAGAAGGCCAGAGCCTTGGCAAAACCTCAAGGATGGTACCATTTATTATTCGCTATGAGCCAAGCTCTTATGCCTTTTGGCTTAGTGAGCAGAGTGGGGGCTGGGCACCCTGCGGCCTGCAAAGCCATCCCCAAAGTGGGGCCCACCGGCCNTAACAACCTCATGTAAGAGGAATCATCGTGCTTCTTTAAAAACAAGGCTCTTCTTAGCTGGAAACGCGATGGCCCGGGGGTGGGTGGTGTGCGGATGCGGAAGGGAGCCGGCGGGCATGGGACACAGCCAGCAGTGGCTGCGAGGGCGGGAGGGCAGGGCGGCAGCACACACAGAGCCTCTGTGTGCCAGGAAGAGATGGGGGTTTACGGTTTTATGGGCCAAAGTGGTGCCGAGTCAGCAAGCAGAGCAGCTGGACCACTGGCCGCCTGCCTTCCCTCCTTGCTGGCCCGTCCACATGGACGCCTCCTCTGAGGCTCAAGCCCACGTCCTCTGGGAGCCTCGCCTTCCCCGCCTGGCCCATGGAAACAGCAGCAAGAGGCAGCTGCGGAGAGGGCTCGGGAACCCCTCCCGGACCAGCCTTCTGCTACAGGTGGGGAAGCGGTGGCCTGAAGATGGCTGCTCCAAGTCAGGGTCAAAGCCAGAGCGAGAACCCCACCAACTGGCTTTTCCTCTGCAGCATCCTTCCTCACTCCAAACGGCTTTGCCAAGACCACCTGTCCAGGGAGGCAGGGACCAGGCCACAGTGCCCCCCACCCACAGACCTAGCACGGTCTTACCCCTCTGAAAACACGTGCTGACCAATCCACTGACTGCTGGTGCTTCCCAACGTGCAGGCGAGGATTCCCTGCTTCAGCAACATCTGGGGATTGTGTTTAAAATGCAGATTCCTGGAATCTCATGGAGACCCAGGATATTGAACCTCTGAGCACAAAGCCTGGAATACACTTTTAAAAAAAACTCCCCTGGGGCACCTAAGAGAACCCCAGGGATGTGTAAGGTAAGGCAGCCTTGGGTTACAACAGGAGACCACATGCACAGTTGCAACTCAGAGAAGGAGCATTAGACTGGGAGTCAAACGTCTGGTCCTCTCACTAGCTCTGACTGTTCTTTATTAACCATGTGACATTGGCCAGATCCCTCCACTGACCTAGACTGAGAGCAGAACTACCGCCTCCC